GTTTTATCAAAGTGCACAAACCGAATAGAGACTCGAGTCCTAGCAGACAAGTTCCAATCGTTGGAATCCATCCCGAGGTGTGGATACGTGTAGAGGGCGAGGTAATCTTCCTCCCTTTCGTGATCAGACGTGTTCTTCGATTGATACAGGCCCTGGATCGATTGAGGTAAGCGTTCTAACGAGTTTCTACGATTTCAATAGAAGCATGGTTCTAGGGTTTATCAATTTTTGTTTTATATCCGCTGCGCAAACCCTAGAATTGATCTCTTAGGAATAGGATTCGCTCATGAGATCCCAGGAATTCCAACAGTGGTATCAGAGCCTGGTTGCTCTGTTTTGATTTCGTAGAACCCGATCACGCATGTTTTAGGATTTGAATTGTTTGAATCCATGTTTGCTTTGATATCTATGCATATTTGATGATTGAATCTAGTGTAGATTGCATGTTTCATGTTTCATAGAGTGCAGAAGTTCGAATTTTGGGTTCACAGAAGAATTCGGATCAGTTTCGGGTCTGATCGGGGCTGAGAACACTGCGGAACGTGATCTGATCACGTTGAAGGACCCTAGACCGTCCGTTCTGGGTAAGCCAGACCGGACGGTCCAGGGGGGACGGACAATCCCTGGGCAGAACAGAAAAACTCGGACCGCGAACCTGCACCGGACGTTCTGAATGTCAGAACGTCCGTTCCAGCTCATGGAACGTCCGTTCCACGTTAATTTGCGGACCGTCCGTTCTACTCTTATGGACTGTCCGTTCCAGTCTATTCTCCAAGGCTGGTCCGTCCGTTCTCAAACGTAGACCGTCCGTTCCACACCTAGAACGGACGGTCCGAAGTCCAGATTCCGAAATTTTTCGTTTTCTAGGTCTGATTACGCAACCATTGCTTAATATGATCAACTGTAACTCAAATAGACATGATTTGTTCTTATGGATGGTCCATAGTGAATGAATGCATGTAACTTGATCAAGATATTGGATATGCTTGATTTAGTGGGAGCTTCGAGATTGGGAATACATAATCGAATAGATGGTCTGTTCGGATTGTGTACAATCAATGCACAGAAACCGGTTAGATCTAGGAGCTCTACGAGTAAAGCACTTGTCAAGGCCTCGATCGTACGTGTCATGGGCCATGCCAAAGCTGGGTGTGCCGTATTATCTTGGTGAGGCAAGATGGAGAAATGGTGGTTCTCATAGCTTGAAAGTAGATGCTTGATCTAGGTGCGGTTTCGAAAAACCCTTATTCATGTAATGCTAAGTGTGTACCTCCCATTACTAGAGCGCCTGTCAAGGCATCTGAGAACCACCATTTCTCCATCTTGCCTCACCAAGATAATACGGCACACCCAGCTTTGGCATGGCCCATGACACGTACGATCGAGGCCTTGACAAGTGCTTTACTCGTAGAGCTCCTAGATCTAACCGGTTTCTGTGCATTGATTGTACACAATCCGAACAGACCATCTATTCGATTATGTATTCCCAATCTCGAAGCTCCCACTAAATCAAGCATATCCAATATCTTGATCAAGTTACATGCATTCATTCACTATGGACCATCCATATTCTCCAAGGCTGGTCCGTCCGTTCTCAAACGTAGACCGTCCGTTCCACACCTGGAACGGACGGTCCGAAGTCCAGATTCCGAAATTTTTCGTTTTCTAGGTCTGATTACGCAACCGTTGCTTAATCTGATCAACTGTAACTCAAAATAGACATGATTTGTTCTTATGGATGGTCCATAGTGAATGAATGCATGTAACTTAAT